GTTGGAGCAGCCTTTCAACGCCTCTCTCTGTCGCTCGCAAGCAAAGTTGACCCAGACAACAAAGTAAAGTAAAGTATTTTTCAGCCTGAGCCCAACACGGAACCTGCCGTATTAGCCAGAGGTCCCTTTACTACGCTTCGGAGCAGCGGACCTTCAGTAATAGTAATAAATCACAGCAATAGTACATTCATGTAGTTGTAAAAAGCATGATAATGTAATAAGTATTCCAAAGTATTCAGAATACGTTACTCTCATTGAGTATTAGTAACGGTTAGTAGAGTAACGGAATACATTACAAAATACATTTTGGGGCATGTATTCTGTAATCTGTAGTGGAATACATTTTAAAAGTAACCTTCCCAACACTGACCTTAGGTTGCACATATTAGTTTTAGAAATTAAATTTCTCAGAAGGGTTGCTGTTCCTTAGAGATAGAATAAAGCTGCTACTCCTCCACATTGAAAGGATCCAGTTGAGGTGGTTTGAGCACCTGACGAGGATGCCTCCTGGGCGCTTCTGGTGTGAGTTCTTTCGAATCACCAGAAGGAGGCCAGCCCTGGGGCAGACCAAGGAGACTCTGGAGAGATTTACATTTACTTGCCTTGCTTGGAAATGTGATGCCCCAAATAAACAAAAGAAAATGGATGGATGGACTTTAAAACCTCTTGACCAAAATTCAAAAGCTGAAATGTGTGAGAAGTGGACAACAAGCTGAAAATGGCAATCCACAGATATAATAAAAAATACATGGAAGAATTTAAGCTCGGTGATATCTGACGAGTAACCACCCTCATTTGCATATTAATGTTACTTGTTTTCCCTGTTTCCTTCTTTTTTTATTACAGTACTGACACACACACACACACACACACACACACACACACACACACACACACACACACACACACACACACACACGTGCGTACTACTATACTTGTATTGAATTGTACAGTGTCTCTTTTACCCTGAGGAATGAGTCAAGGGATCCATTCTCCATGAATTCAGTGATGATCATTACAGGGCTGCTCTTGGTAACCACTCCCTCCAGATGGATGATGTTGGGATGATCAAACTGACCCATGATAGATGCTTCACTTAAAAAGTCCCTCCTCTGCCGTTCAGTGTACCCTGCCTTTAAAGTCTTGATGGCCACCAATATCTCCCTTTTCCCAGGCTGTCGGAGGTTTCCACTGCACACTTCTCCAAACTCTCCTGTCAGGTTTACAGGTGGTAAATGACATGTAATGTATTATAATATATTCATTTTGTGTCATCTTCTGTAACTATCAAAGTTTTTGTAAACTGCTGTAATCTAGGCAGACATGATAGAGAACAATTAGGCAGAAAAGCTATGTTTAAGTTGATTTTAGTTCCAAGCACTGTCACAACAGTACAGTGACTTCTTAACCTCTTAAGCCCCAAGCCTACCTGATCTCCTGCCTTTTGCCCCCGTATCAGGGGGCGTTGGGGCTTAAGAGGTTAATCTAACCTTTGATAAAGAAACCTTTAATATTACCTTCTTTGAATAGACAATTAATATAATAATAAAGGTCAAGACAGTCACATTCTGACGTACTAAGTATCATAAACCTCACCAATCACTGCCTGTCTTTACTTACACCTAATATCGTTTCCTTTCTAAGGCATCTCTTTGTTTTACCTGCTCCAATCACTTGTTCAATCTTCACACAGGAAATGTCAATCTCCTTAGCAAACTCTCTAACCGCTTCATTGGGATCTTCATATGTGAAGGGGTCAATGTAGATCTTCATTCCCGGTGACACTTCAACAGAAAAATAGAAGAAACAGCAACAGATATACATGTAAAAACTGAATCGTGAAAACACAGGGAAACTTGATTTCTTTCTGTTATTTTTTGAAAAAACATTAATTTCATAAAATACAGCACTAATGACTATCAGTCTTAATGTCAACAACTTGCAGTAAAAGGTACATACTGTGACCGCTGGTGTAATGTTGGAGTTTGTCTGTATATTCAGATTCTGGTCTGTCAGAATTTCTTTTGCTGTAAACAAATACAAAAAAGTCTGCATGTAGATCCATCAACTCAAAAACAAAAACTAAATCTACTAATTACATAAACTATTAAACAAAACAGAGCACAGGCTATACTATACTATATGGTGTACAATAAAGACTGATGCATGACAAAGACAACACAAAATATATGTTTACTAAGTATATAATCATGACCTGACATAGTCAAGTCTTGACTTTGAACTACTCCAGAAAAAAAAACAAACCGTGTGTTTCTACCCTATTTAAAACTGTCTACTACAAAGAAGCCCATAATTGGCTTTCAATTAAATATGTCTGTGAAGGTTCTTAGTCAACCAGGTCATCATAGTCTAAGGAGCTGGAAAGAAAATCCTGGGCCTTCTGAACCCAGGAAATCCTCAGAAAATCACATGATAGGGTGGGACTAGGTTTCACAATGAGTTCACCCGAAACCTTGGCTGATTGTGACCTACACCTGTTTTCACACCTCGGCTCGTGTGATCAGGTAGAGGATCATTAGGGGGTCCATTGTCCCTCTTGGGGCTTAAATCTGGGACTCTCCACCATTTGACCCTAGAACTGAAGAAGCATCTCAGATGAGAGGCAAAACGTCTTCAAGCAACTTAAAGAAGAACAGATGCTTTTCAATTAAATACATAATTTTACACTAAATTGCATGTTGCCACTAGGGATGGGTACCGGTATCCGGTGCCAATATAGCACCGGTTCTGACATAAACGGTAGTAACCAGACCGGAAAGCAGCGCACATTTCGGTGATTTATTTCAGTGCCTTTTTCCCCCTGAAATGTCATACACTTTGGATTCTAGCCAATCATTTTACCTTTCCAAGGATAGTAGGCGGGCCCAGGTATGTACGTTCTTTTAGAGCAGAGCTACAGATTAAAAATGCCCAAGACGAAGCGGTCAAAAGTCTGGCTGTACTTCACAGCAAAAGATGCAAACTCAGCAGCCTGCAAAAAGTGCTTTAAGGTGATACTGTGCAAAGGAGGTAA